AAAATGAGGAGAAGCTCTCCATTCGCTTGGTGCCCAGCACGGGTGATGCGGAAATCTTTGGCTCCTCATTGATCTCCAGCACCTCGTCGGATCGGTGGTACAACTTTGGGGAAGAAGCAAAAGCTGCGATTTGTTCCTGGAGCGGCTGCGAGCTGGAGTTGGCGGGATCTGCAAGTGTAGAATACCTAGCAGACAGCTTGAGTCCCACTTTTGGTGCCTATACGAATTTGCACCTCTACTTGGAGCAAGAACGACTCAAAGCTAGGAACGAGTTGAGAAATGCATCCAGAGAGACGTTGGAGGACATCAAAGATAGAGCTCTCAGGGCTGCTAACCCGACAATACCGCTAGAGGTGGACTCCAAAGACAACACGGGCGTAGCAGAGCTGCTGACTGGTGGTGAGAAATCTGGACAAGCGATCTATGAGAATGTAGGACAAGGACCGAGGGTGTTGGTCGTAGGACCTGAATCGGCTGGCAAAACTTCTCTTGTCAGATTGCTCGCCAATTACGCCCTCAAAAGCCCAGCAGTCTGCGAGATTCCACACATGAAAGCTCAGGAGGACAACGAGAACAAGAGAGATGGGGAAGCAGAGAGTGCACTGACAGGTTGGTGGCCCGTGATTGCTAACCTCGATCCTAGCGCTGTGAGTGCCCAATGAGCTGCCAACGCGGGCGTCGCAACTTTCACCTTGCTCGTGAAGAGAGTGACGGCGGATATTCGCTAACATGGTGAGCTCTGGTGCGACAACCTATACCCAAGGGAGCTCCGACCCTACCGTGCACCTTTTCTCTCCTTCCTCTCTCACCTTCCCCCAGCGTCTCCCTTACAACCGCTTCGCCCGCCTACCCGTTCGGTTTAACCCTTCCCACAACAGGTCTTTTCACCACCACATCCCTCAATCCCGTCTCCTCCATTCCAGCTCAATCTCTCTGGCTAGGCAAGGAAGACGTCAGAACCAACGAGGTGCACTCCAAAAGAGTCGTGGACTGGTTGGGAGCTGCTCTGGAAAGACGTTTGGCTAGGGATTTCAGAGCCAGATGTAGTGGAGTCATTGTGGATAGCATGGGCGTCAATTCCAAAGATGCCAGAAAAGGCTACTCCTTCTTGAAACATGTGGTCAGAACGCTACATAGTGAGTAAGTTGGCTCGAGGTATCAACACCTTGCTGCGAACCTGCACGAAGCGGGACATGGACGTTTGGAGGACAAGTTGTGAGCACTGTTGACCTCAGCTTCGGTGGTGCTTTCTTTCGCTTTCTCGTTGCAGTCGACACGATCATCGTCCTGGGCCACGAGAAGCTGCATATCGAATTGACGCGCCTCTTCGCAACCTCAAGTGCTCCTCCTGGTGGTGAAGCATCCGGAGGCTCGAACGCAAGCTCATCCACCCACAAACCTATCCAAGTGATCAAATTGCCCAAATCAGGCGGAGTGAGTGAAATGATTTCTCATCACGCGTCTTTGCACGCTTCGTGTACGCTTGTTGATCTCGAAAGGAGTTGCTGTATCACCATATAGGTCGTCGAGCTGGACGAGACGTACAAAGCTCGATTACGCAACTTGCAAATCCGCAATTACTTTTATGGAGGAAGCGTCGACAAGAAGAGCACATCGGCCAAAACGGGCGCCGATCATGTCGCCTCGTCTCTGGCACCGGCTGTCGTTGACGATCGGATGCAGGAAGCTACCAATAATGACGGAGCGCCGACGGATGGGACACCGTTAGGAGGTTTGCCACCTCTTAATCCCCTGACTACTTCTATCCCTTTCGATCTGCTGGAAATCTATAGAGTGGGACAGGGTGAGTTCTGGTGCTTTCATTTTCATCATTGGGCTGCTGCTGCACCCCTTCGCAGGCTCTCTTGCTGAAAATCCGGACATTCAATTCAGAATCCATGGCACCCACATCCGCTCTACCGATAGGAATGGGTCGAACAGTGACAGAGACGCAACTGCTGAAACTTGATATAGTGAACAGTCTAGCAGACCAGAACAGCATCTTGCACAACGTATTGGCGCTCGTTGAGCCCCCTCATGGAGGAGGAGGACCGGGTCAGCCTGATTCTCAGACTGTGCCTCCTCCAGAAGACGACGCCATCATTGGAGCCAACGTGCTGGGGTTCCTTCACGTGTGAGTGCTGCATCTTGAACGCCAACACCTCGGCACGACAAGGGCGCACACTTTTCTGATGGATGAATCTCTCGACCCGCTATGCTGTAGCGTCGGCATCGACACGCAGAGAAAAAAGCTGAACATTCTTTCGCCAAATCCGACAAAGAGGTTGCCAAGCAAGACTGCCTTGTTAGGAGTGAGTGGAATCCGGAAGCGAGACTGGCGATGAATGCCTTTCATTTTTGCTGATTGACTCGGACCTCTTTCAATCGCTTTCCCGGCAGACTCTCGATTGGCAAGACGCTTAGCAAGAGATGAACATTTCCTTCTTTGTGCATGACCGAGATGTTCGCCCCGTCGTTTCTTTGCGAGATGGCGAATCGTGTGATCGCTTTAAGCTACAAAAGGGGAGGGGCAGACACGAGTTGTTGTATCGTCACGCTCAAGGCTTTCTTGCTTGTGACCTGTGACGATACAATGACCACAGACAGCGTGACTGATTCGCATGCCGAGATTTACGATTGCAGATTCGCAAGCTTCTTCCATCATCGTGTATGCGGAAGGAAGAATGCATTTCTGATTTCTCAGCCAAACGGCAGTCAAAAGTGTAGGGCATGCATAAAGGCACACGCACACATTATCCCGTTCACGTTCACCCGGCTTTCAGACTTGTGGTGCTTGAAGGCATGTGTGGCCCCTGTACGATGCGTATGCATGGAGTCAAGAGTTTCGAGTGCGACTCGTGACTGCCATCGCCGGCCGAAGGGCGACTACGGCAAAGTAGCCATTCAGCAAGCAGCCAACCTTTCGTGCACCAAAGGAAAGGAAAGTGGGGCGCTACTTTGGCAAACACTTTGGACGTCCTCACACACACCCACTCGCACGGCATTCGCTCTGATGAGTGTTGCATATGTAGGTACGTCTCGGCTTTGTGAGTGGTAGTTTGCCGTATCGGCGGTTTCGTCGCTTGCTACCACCTTCAACTTCGTCCGGCCTGAGATGAAGCTATGGGTGCGGACCGCAATTCCGGACGAATGGGATGCAGTGAAGCTCCCCCCGACTCAGAGCCAAGAGTTGATCTGGCGTGATCACCGAATGCAGCGTCTTTGCAAGGCGCATTTCAACAAAATCCCTGAACACGGCAGGCTTTTCAATGTTCAAATCTCAAAATGTCAGGTGATCAAGGCATGGATGACTATTCTTCTTCGTCCTGTTCTTCTCCAGTCCTTTTCGGCTGAAAAAACTCCACTACTTGCTCGTCTTCGTCCGCCTCGTCTTTTTCAGTAGCTCCAACCCTCCCAACATACTCTGCCGGATCTCTTCTCCTCCTCCTCGCTTCCACCTTCTTTTCCGCCGCCTGTCGCTTCTCCACACCCTCGATGGTCCAGAAGAGATCTTCGGCCTGCGATGTAGCCAGGTCGAGCCAGGTGGACAAATTGGGAACCTTTCCCGCTCCAGATGCTTGATGTCGAGCATTCGGAACCGGAACGAGGCGAGGATATCTGGCGGGATCGATGGCAGAATTGGTTGGCGAGCATCTGAAGCACTCAATCAGAGGCACCACCTCCTCTGGCCGAGCAGTGCGCTCGTGCCTACTCTCCCAGCCGCTTGCCTCCGTTCCCGGTTCCACTGTCGAAGAAGCGGCAAGCTTGCAAAGTGCTCGCTTAGTTGCTTCAAACACCTCTCGTCCTGCATCTGGCCCTGCTGCAGAGGCAACATTGGTACTGAGGTAGTAGACGTCTGGCGGAACCAAATCGGCTCTCTCTCTCTCTCAGCTGATTGAAAGCCGTAAGTGGGCGGGGCAAACGCTTGTATACTCACATTGGCCTTTTGGACAGCTGAACGTCCCTTCGCCCATCATGAGTGCTGTGACAGCCGATCCATGATGTGGCACAAGGGAGGCAGGAGGAAATACCACAAGAGCTGTCTCAGGTGGCAGCGACGCAGCGGTGGTTTCGCTTCGCCCCTGAGTCTCATTTGCATTTGCACTGGTAGGAGAATCCTGCAAAGCGATTGGCCGATCAAGGACTATGATTGCCTCCAGGCTCTTAGCATCAGGTATCTCATTTAGCAGACCCGGCTGCCGTGATGTCGCGTGGACGGAGGCGTCGTCATCATCCTGGCGAGGAATCAACGTCGTGAGCGTATTGGGTTCGCCCACGACCCAATCGGCTGTCAAACCTCCTTCCTCAGGCAGGTCCTTCAAGCCAAATTCCCAGCATTGCGTTGGCCCGTCTGACGTTTGGTTTGTCTCTGCAGCTCGAGAATCATCGTTGATACCTTGATTTGCACGCTCGAAGCTCTGAGCTGGCTTCATATCGCTGAGCTCATGACCCAAGATGTAGATGGCTCCGTATACGGCTGCAGCTCGACAGTAGCTTTGGGCCAGCTCGCCAGCTCCGCCATACTGACCTACCAAGTAGGAGGAATTGCCAAACCGGCCAATGCCGGATAGATGCTGTTTTGCTCTCGTCAATGCTTCTTTCGTTGGCTCTGAGAAGCCGAGCCCTGTCTCAGTACACACAACGGAGTTCGCAACTTTGCGCAAGACTTACCATCCGGACGCGAGCATAGAGCTACTCCGTACGCCAGAGTCTGTGCGACGGCATCTGATAGACCGTGCTTGCCTTGCAGGTAAGACAAGAAGGGTTCTTCGTATGCGTCTGCAAGAGTGACAGTCTTCGACATCAGCCACGCGAGCAAGCATGATCATCCGAGGCCCATTCGCTCACCCGACTCGACTACATCGGCGACTGAGCTAGCTTGCGCCACGTTCATGAGAAGCTTCATGACGCGGCGCTTGTCGGGCAAAGACAAGGCTCGATCTTTGAACACGTCTTCCTTCGAACAGGGTACGGTTCGTAGCTGCGACACCGCAGATGGACTTGCGGCTGTGGCGTTTGGAGTGTAGACCGTCGTGCTTTCTAGTAACCGAAATGTGGCGTATGAGGCGACTCCAGAGCGCACCAGGACATCAATGGCTTCGCCCGAAGCCGGCAACAAGCTAGGGGACAGGGAGAGCGAGTAGTGCCTGTCCGATTTCCTTAGATCTTCAGGGATCTTTGCAGCCGGGGATCTGGATGCTTCCTGGGCAGCTTCTAGGACATGCGACGGGAAATCGATCCATGCCGTTGAGCTGCTAGCCTTTTTGGACTCGGCGGTGCGCTCCACGTGATTGACTAGCTCGCCGAGCGAGAGACTGGCACAATCTCCGCCATAGTAGTCGTTCGAGTCTACATGCAGCACTGATCGACCAGCTTTTGCTAATGCGGCGGACAGAATCGACTGTGCTAAGCCTGTTCCAAGTATGAGCACGTCGAAGTGCTTCGTAGGCAGCGACATGATCGCAACGAGAGCCCTACTGAGTATCTAGGCGTAACAGGCACAGCCTCTCTGACTCTTGACTTGGGATCAAAAAAGGCGCAAATTGCGATTTCAACGG